ACGTTAGCCCTGGCTGCTGCAGACGGGCTAACGTTAGCCCTGGCTGCTGTTAGCCTCGGAGGTCTGCGGTTGCCGCGGTCCTCTGAACTTTGGAAATTGTTTATTTTATTACGCATAGTGACGCTTTAAATTTAATATTCTCGCCTCAAATGATCTTAAAATGTACTTTTATTGAACAAGAGCAACAGAAAGAGAACTTTTAGCTTTCAATGCAGCGCTCCATTAAAGCTGCTGCCGCAGTGCATCATGCTGCTGTTGTGCTTCTCCAGCGTCGCAAAGCTTTGTCGTCACGCCCACAAAGCCCCGCCCACTTCGCATCCAAATATTCAAAACACATCTCTGCGTTGTGATTGACCCACCAGTTCTAGGCCTGGGGCATTGATCGAGGCTAGACTAAACCCGCTGGTGGGTGGGGCTAGTTTACCAGGCTAGCAGACATGCAGAAAGCTGCTGTGCATTGAAGGGAAACCAGTTCATCATTTTAGTTTTTATTAGTCTCTACAATGACCTGCAGTTGCAACACATCATCATTGGGGGCGCTGTTACGTCCTCAAGGGCACAACATATTTGAAGACACATGGGCAAAACTAAGGGTTCAAAATTATTTATTTAGATTTTTTATTTTTTTTTTATTCTCTTGAATTTTATTTTTGATTCAGCTGTGGGGAAAAAAGATAGATAATTAAATATACTCAGCTTCCCATATCCAGAACCAAACAACAACCCAAAGTATTACAGAAAGTTGGACCTGATGAGCCGATCACAAAACACAGATCGTTACAGCAGGAGGCCAACCCGATGCAGGGACGCCGAAGGCCTTACTAGTACCGGACTATAAGAAAAAATAAAGAATTGAAAACAGGACGACCGGTCCCACCAGGCCAAAATCACAACGGAAACAGCAACCTAACAGCGGCTAACAAAGTTACAGCATGGCAGGATGGAGAGTCAGTGGCGGCCTACAGCTACTGGAGACGCACGCATTTTCAGGATTCATCGTTGATGGTGGAGATGGACGAGCGAGGAGAAGGCCCCCCTGTTTATAGACTGTCCAACAGCCACAAATTAATGAGCATAAATTAATTACAAAAAGGAAATATCTAAACCCCAAAATATACTAAACAAAAAAAATGACTATGTGCCAAAAGCTCCTAACAGGCGCTATGAAACACATCAGTCTAGTCTAAACAGGAAGCAGATAAAGATAGGAAAACGTTGAAATGGTGACTGCTGTGTTTATACAGACTCACCATGAGGATTAAAAGTTTCCACATTACATCTTTAAAGGTCATTTCAGACCTGACCTGTGGTTTGCTGGACCGTCATTGTAAGGAAGCTGCAGGGAAGTTTGTTCTCCTTGCTTTTTTGGTCCTCCTCAGATGTTGGATTAACGTTGGCCCCTCCTCAGAGCTCCAACAATTTCCAGAGTTTTAAACTGGACCTCAGAAAAATGTTGATTGGATCCTGAGCTGCATTAAAACCACCTTTAAAAACAAAGATTTTCCTCTAGCCCGATAAGGCTTGGTGCTAAGCTAACACCAGAACCAGTTCAGCACTGGATGATATAAATCTGAGTATCATCTGCATAAAGGGAGAGCAAGAAAACGCTTTAAACCAAAACAACCATCACTACTTATCAGTTTTTGTTTTTACAGTCTATCTGCCTTATTTCTTCCTTCCAGTTAAATGTTTATCTGCAGTTTCTTATTTTTCTTAAGCTGCTGCTCCATGCTAAGTTAATAGTTTCAAATGTTTCTGCAGCCAAGAAGATGATGAGCCTGGTCAGCGGTCGCCTAGATGCAGATTCAGCAGCTTCTTCTTCCTCCCACAGTCTGAGGGCAAAGAGGAACAGAAAGAAACTCTACCGGCCAGAAATCTCCTGCCCCATGGAAATGCCCCCCCATCCAGTAAGTGCCCCTCCCATGCAGCCTTAAAGCAGAGCATGGGCCAAGTGCAAGTGTGAAACGATTTAGATCAGAACGAGTCTCTGTCAGGGTTTGTTTTTTTGCACATTTCATTTTTCGAAGAGTTGAAGTTTTTTATCCCCGTCATGTTCAGCATTATAGCAACAGAACTGGAGTCTGAGTGCCGTTCTCTGCCCAACGCCTTCGCTTTGCCAGGGGAGGCCTGGCAGGAGGAAAACCTCCCTTGATCATCCAATACTGCTTTATTGTTTAAGATTTATTTTTATTACAGAAGATTAGTAAAACCAAACATACGGGAGAGGATTAGGGCCACTGGAAAAAAAAAAGGTTAACTGATTTTTTAATTTTATTTCAGTTTATTATGGGAAAAAAGTCAGAATTCTGACTTTTAATCTCAGAATTCTGACTTATGGATCTAATCCCTGTAGAGATCAGGCAGGTAGAGTCATAACCATGAGAGGAAAGCTTCTGCAGGAACTCTGCAGAACAGGGAGCTCTGCTTCCTGTAGCCTGACTGGACCTGAATGAGTCCCTCCCCCCCTCACCATGAGCTGTCTGTGCTTTCAGATGATCAACCAGGAGAGGGACGACAGCGAGAGCGACGATCAGATCATCAAACGGCGCCTGCGCTCCAGAGTGGCTAAATGCTAACTCTGCTCCGCTGCGTTTCTGTAATACTGTTTCAATGAAGCTGCTTATGATTATTTAGCACATTTTCTTTCTTTAATCACTTTAAAAGCTGAACATTAGATCATCAGTGGGAGAATCTCCATAAATAAGATCAACACTAAAAACCTCCTGCTGGACGTTTGGTTTCAGTCTTAGATGCTAATGATTTTATTCCACCAAGTATTTACGTTTATTTTTCTTTACTTCGGATCAAAAAGCTCCGCCTTCATGAAGCACTGGCACTCATGCTGCTTATATATGAAGTGCAATCATTATGATTATTTAACCTTTCCTTCCTAGAGAGCTGCTATAAAGTTTCCAGAACTATTAGTTCTAACATAGTTTGATCTTAGCGGACCAACATCATCGTTTGCTTCACAGACCCCTGAGGTTCTGACTTATGTTCTGAGAAACGTTTCATTCCTTTTTTCACCACAGTCCTCTAGAGCAGGTGGAGCTGCGGTTTCATCCCCATCAGAACTCTATTGGACCTTCCTGTAGAGCTTCCCTCAGATCACCAGAAAACATTTTGGTTCTAAACCGGGTCAGAACCAAGGAGTTCTGAGCTCCAGGTTTCTGCGCCGTCAGGAGGTCGGCCCGGTTTCATCCAGAACCTTTTATTGGTCTGAGCCCAGCCAGCTGCACTGACCCAGCTTTAAGCCGACGCCCACAGCAGGGTCTGCTGCTATCAGAACACGTTTCACCATCAGTGTAACCTGCTGGTTGCTCTACAAAATAAAAGCTGAATATTTCTGAAATAAAAGCTTGTTTGTTTTTTACTTCCTTGACTTGATCCGTTTGGACCTCCTCGACCATGGCTCCTGCTCGGTTGGGAATATTTCCGATGGTTCTGACTGGATTACAGCTTTATTTCCTGCTAACTATAAACTCAGAAAAACATGACGCTCCTTCCTGACCTTTGACCCGCTTCTTAAAATAACTGGACCTGTAAGCTGTGAAAGTTCTGTCCCGGTCGGATCCAAAGCTGCTCCTCCATTCAGCAGCTTCTGTGTTTTTATTGAGGAATCATACATGAAAATTAAACATCAACAATACTCTTTTATGTTGTTTTTTGGTTTATGTGAACAAAAAACATAAAGACAATAGAAAACCAAACGAAAGTGACATAAATAAACCAGAACATTCTCAAAGCCCCCCCCCCCTTTCCCTGGGACTCACATCTTATCTCAGAGAATCAAAACCAATTCTCTTCAAATAGTTAATAAATTGCTGAAGCTGTTGCCAGGTTCTGTTGAACCACTTTAAGTTATTTGCTAATGAGAAGCGTATTCGTTCCAGATCAGAGAGCCGGACCACTTCCTCCAGCCATCATTTAACCAATGGAACCTCTGATTTATTCCAGAACATCAACTCTAGCTTTTTCCCTGTGATAAAGGCATAAGATAGTAGCTGTCGTTGAGAAAACTGAACGGAAACTCGGGGCACAATCAGAAATGGGTCTAGTAAGAATGAAGAAGCGGGGCTTCTTCAGTATGGCATTTGTCACACAGTGGGGATGTATTAGGGGAAAATGCACCTTGCAGTAATGAAGCCTGTGCATGACTTTAAATTGAAT